CACCACCTGACTGAAAGGAAGGCCAAAGGACCCTAATCGTGGCTAAGCCGCGTCAACTCTATTCAATAAGGCGGAATGGTTCATAAATTGGATGGGGAAGAGGAAATGGGGGCCACAATTGGACTGAATTCCCTAAGAGACCTTTTAAATAGAGCTCTTTAAAAGAACATATTTATCTCGAGTAAGCCTTAGTTTTTGATCTGTTGGGTACGTAGTGTAAAAAATACCTTCAAGTTGTATTAAAAATTTAGTTAAGCATGAACAACATCTTTTTAAATATTTTATTATATTATATTATATTAAATAATCCTTAAGAAAAATGTTTCCTACACTTAAAATTTGCTAATTTATCTGTTGCTAATTTATCAATTGAAACGCTAATGATGACATTTGGCAGGCCTAAGCGGCCCAAGGAAAACAAAATAACAAAATAGCAGAATAACAAACTAAAAACAAAACAGAGCGAAAGAGACGAAAAGCATGGTCTTCGTGAGCTTTTCCGTTTCCTGTTGGCGCTGCGCTGGGAAACCGAAAACATAACAAATCGTTTTCTTCTTTTTTCTGGCCCCGTTTCGTATTCCCTTCGACGCGAAAAAAAGGAATGGGGAAGTTTCCTTGTAGGCCTCTGGCATTTTTACGAGGCATTCAGCCAATTGACAGGCTTCAGTCGCTCGTAAAAACAAAATCAAGCAACGAAGAAAAATGATGCGCAGAATGGCCGAGGAAAACTGTCGAAGGGAAAATGAAAAGGAAACTATATGGCCATTGGAGTCGCCTAAAAGTATACTTAAATATTTAACAGCGAGCGGGGGGTGCGAGATCGAAATAAAAGTTTAAAAAACATTAAAACGCATTTAGCAGGCTGTTTTTGGGCCCTCTATGTGTATTTTTTGTATATATAAGGAACCGAATCTGTTTGCCCCGCCCATAAATACTTATTATCGCTTATTTGAACTTGCGAATGCTGCCAGCAGCGATGCTTGTGATTTACTTTTATTTGAGCTGGCTTTTTCTTTCCTTTCCTTCGCTTTTCCATTTTTGTGCGTGAGTTGTCAGTGCGAAAGTGAGTGCGAAAAAAATCGATTTTTATTTCGTCTGCTCGGGGAAAAAAGGTCAAAAACAATAAAAGCCTAAATACACATACGAGCCTTTGAACTGGCTTTGATAAAAGCGACGCAGTCTCAGCCGCAGGACGAAAAAAAAAAACGAGAGGGGAAGGAAGTCCTGCGAGGAGGGTAAGCCTCCAATCAATGGCTGTGCGTCGCTTTTGGTACGTGTGAATTTAAGCTGATTAAAGAATTGAGCTCCTCCGCCGAAGAAAGGAAACGAAGAGGGGAGAGCGAAAAAGAGAGGAGAAAGGCGAGAAGAAAAACGCAGAAAGGCAGAAATTGATGTCTGCTTTTAGGCGTAGATGCTGCCTTGGCTTTATTTATGCCTTTTGTCTGGGCTCGGAGGCTTTGTTATTTGGGGCTTAGTGGCGAATATCCGTCCTTTTAATTTGCACCCCACAAAAAAAAAGAGGGGAAAACACATGTGGGACAGATAAAAAGAGACAGTCGCGGTCTCAGCTGAAGCCAATCATCATTGGCAGTCAATCTATATTACAAATTCAATTGAATTTGTCGCTCTTTATTTGCGCTAATCAAATTGCCAGGGCTGCCATAAAAATGTTGACACTAATAAGGCCGTCATTTCAGGTAAAGAAAGAAAGTGTCGTTGTCTTCTTTATGGTCAAAAGGATGTATACTTTTTGGGCCAAGAATTCCCGCGCAAAGTGGGAAAATACAATTCAAATGCCTAATCAGGCGTAAGAATTTGGGGGGCTGGGGAAAGTGAATGGCAGCAAACGAAATGAGAAAAGTTTGTTTTTTCGAGGTCGAAGGGGCGGCCAACGCGGCGTATTATTATTATTATTAGTTTGCGGCCCTAAAACTTTTCGCAGCCTGCTTATTAGCAAAGGGAAGGGGTTTCTGTTTCATAGCTCATTGCTTTTCAATTTGATCAGACGTTGTCTATAATGAGCTCTCAAGAAAGTTTGCCTTTACTTGGGGTTTTCATGCATACATATGCGGTCTACATATAAGGTTCCTCTTTAATTTTCCTGGCTGGGTTTTTTCTGCCTTTTTTTTGTTAATTTTCGACTGTCATTTATCATCAGAGGTGAGGGATGCGTGGAAATTTTTATGGAGTTGATTTTTAATCTTTCGCAATCGCTATCCCCGCAAAAACCCCCCAGCAGCACCGCAGGAGGAAATGAATATTTATAAGTATGATGGATGAGGCGAGACGGGAAGTGCCCCAGGTGGAAGAGGAGTGGAGCAGCAGCTGATTTACTGACGTGTGACAAGGAGTCAAGGATAAAGGTAAGGAAATTAATGCGTAGTTAGAAGCATAAATCTGTGCGTCGTCCTTGCCGAGGCAGCAGCAGGAAATGGCGGGGATTTCACAATTTATGTTTGCCTTTGCCCGGCTAAAGGCAGATATTCTTTGCGCTCACGGGTCGTATGAGTGATATTAATTTGACTTTAAGTCGCTCTCTCTGGCAAACGTAACACGTCAACGTAAACGTAAGCGTACGTATGCAATTTACGTGACATCATTACGTGTTAGACAAGTACAAATTACGCGTAAAGGGGAGGAAAAGAGAGGGGAAACGCCAGACGACAATATGAGTTTGATAATGATGAAGCATGGTGTGCTAGTGTGTGTATCTGTATCTATGTGTGGGTGGAATATCAAGATAAATAACTAAGCAAGGACATGTGTGTGTGTGTGCCAATGAAACAAAAGTCATCAGACTTAGATATGGCACAGTAGATTGCAAATGCGACAAACGTTCTCGGGACGAAGGACTCAGGACGAAGGATTCAGGACTCAGGACTTAGAACACCAGATGAAAGACAAAGGCAACAAATTGTACTACAGTTCTGGTTGGTTTGGGATTTGGGCTTCGGTTTTTTGGGGTTGGGTTGCTGTTGGTCAAAGCCCAGACATGTCAACAATGCCTGCCTCAGTAAGTTAAAATTGATGAAGTTAGCAGGCACGAGAAACCCTTTTAAATCACTTTTCCTCCAGCACTTGTCAACACTAATAAATGTATTCATATACCTCTCAACCCCATTCATCTGACAGTTTTTCAGCCCCAACATTTCATGCTTGATTTGAGTTTAAATAAATTAGATTTCTTTGTGCGGCGGCTGAAAAATGCAAATGTCAGCGGGTGAAAACTTGCAGCAGCCGGCCTGCTCGAGACCGGCAATTAAACTTGTCCTTGTCTAATTGCATTTTGGCCTAAGCCAAAGGGCCAAAGCCAAAGATCCTTGCCCCCCCTCCCACACACACACACACACCCACAAATAGGACAAGTCAAAAGTCGCAGGACTCGGTGCCGAGTTGCCAAGTGCTCTGCTGATAGCGGCCCAAAAAGTTTAGCGCTTTAATTTCTTAGAAATTTGTTCCAACAGAGAGGCAGCAAACAAAGTAACAAACAAAAATGTCGACTTGATTGCGTCGCTGATGGTTTGGTGGGCTCTAGGACTCCAAGTCCGAGATGGGAGCTTCAGTCCTTTGGACCAGGTCCACAATTGTGCGGACAGATTGCCGGCAAGTTGAGCTGAGCTGAGTCGAGAGTTGCTTCAAGTTCCCAATCCCCAGCGGATTAGAAAAGTTTAAATTGTTGCTGGCGATAGAAAGGAGAAAGCGAGGAGGAGAAAGGCTGCCAGGGAGTGAAGGCAGCAGCCAAATCGAAGCAGCCAAAGAAGAAGAAACGGATGAATAAAGGGAGCAACGTAACGATTAGTGCTTTCATGTCCTTTGCCAAAGTTTAAAGGTCATCCGGAGGAGGGTCCTGCGCTCGCTGCTGATTTGACACATCAACTTTGTCAAGGTTTTTTGCACCACCAGCGACAGCGACTGTTATGAGCAATGGCTTCTAAAACCCTCCTCCTGAAGTCGAAGTCCTGCCAGGACCTCCTAGATATGTGTGTGTGCACTAGCAATTTGTGCAATGGACATTTTCGGGCGCTGCCATTCTGTGATAAGCGCTGCCAGCTGCAAAATGTCTTAAAAGATTGCGGAGTGCACTGACTTTCGGTCCAATTCAGCCCCACAGGCATCCTGCGATGATTGCGAAATGTGTAGCATACTTTTGTGCGATTGTACCTTTTTCAGTTTGGGGAGAGCGAATTCTGTGGGTTCTGTGGGGGGTTGATATCGAGGGCTTCTCGCCCACACAGCGGGTGGAAAATATTGAAATTACTTTGAAGCTGCTGCATAATGAGCCTGTCAATAAGTTTATCAAAGCAACAACTACTCGGGCCGTGGCCTGACCCAAAAAACAAAGTTGAAGTGCTGTGTAAATTATGCAAATCTTTATCATTCTTTTTCTGCCCTTCGAGGGGTTTGGGGCGATCGAGGGGACTTGGCTCGATGGGCTGTCACAAACAAGCGTGAAGCTCGACAACTGTGTGAGGGGGCCCAGTAAAAACAATATGGCGCCCTGGCCAGCGAGGCCTGCCCCCTCTTCTTTTTCCATTTCCACCACCCCCGAACCCAAACCCGGCTGACTGCCATTGACAGTTCAACGTTGTTTTGCTATACGCTTTTCCCATTTTCTCTACCTTTTCCAAAGTATTTTTTCGAGGTTCGCTTTGGTTTTTTTCTTGCTCTCCTTTTTTTTGTGAAATGTCAAATTTTTGCAGACAGTTTTGACAGTTTATCGAAGTGCGCCCGTAATTTTTGCTGACGTGTGTTGTAGGTGTTGAAAATAGCATGGGCATGTTTTAGGTGTGAGTGGGAAAAACTTTGGCTGGCTCTGCACTTTTCGGCTGAGTGCTTTGGCACAAAAACTTTCCCCCAAAGGAAGACGAAGAAGACGGGTCAAGTTTTTCGTAATTATTTGTTTTGGGTCACCTATGGAGACTCACAAATTGATTTTCTGGCGGGGAGTCGAGAATTCTATGGTGGGGGGACAAACATGAATATGGCAGGTGATTACTTACCGCTGCGACTTTCATTTTCAGCTGGCTTCAGCTGTAAAGCACGGTTCATCTGCAAAGACAAAAAATGGAGAGAAAATTAATACATGTATGCACAGGAAAGAAAAACACTTAAGGATAAACTGATATTCGCATGGTAATTTATGAAGTAATGTGTGTACCACTGAAAAGTGTAATCTTGATATTGAGAAAAATGCTCTCAAATCGAAAAAGAGAGAAAAAAAGTGATAGCGCCTAAATTACTCTGGGTAACTCTCTAGAAAAGGAAAAGAGAGCAAAAAGCAATCGGTACCTAATTAGATCTAAATGATCATCATATCGTATCCATATTTTTCTCTCTGTAGAAAGAGATTTTGCGTTAGCGGTGTTAGCTGGCAAGTCCATTAAATCATGGTGGTTGGCACTGGCCCCCTCAAATTCAATCAACTTTCGTTGGCGGTCGAGAGGAGGACCTCTTCATAAACACCTCTCCCAAAACACATTTGGCCAGCGAAGCATTTTCAAGCATTTAAATGCCACTCAATATGCAAGCCCATCTCCTGTCGCCCCGTCCTCGTCCTTTTGATCCCGATCCTGCACATTTGCGCTCATTGCCTTTTACCCACGACTGGGCAGCCACATCCTGTGCCGCTTCATGCATCATTAAAGCTTAAATCTCACCCAAGCGACCCATGTCGATTCTGGCCAGCCAACACTTAACGTCCTCCTCTCTCTCTGCTCATTTGGGATCGGAGTTGGGAAAGGGAATGGGAATCAGAATGGTATTGGGCCTCAAAGTAGGGTGGATATGGTTCTGGGACGGCTACGTGTTGTGGTCACCTTTTGGTTTATGGCAAATGAGTAATATGCCCGTGCCAGAGCACGAAAAATCCCATTAAAAGACGTTCAAATGAAATGCATTAAAATAAAACTTAATTGAGGGCTTTATACGGAATGTTCGGATGGGTTGGTAGGTTGGTTGGATGGTTGGTTGGTCGGCCACCCCCCAAAAACCGCAGAAACCCGAGCAAATCAATAATCAGCCAGAAGGAGAGACCCTTTCTATATATCTCTCTCCCAGGTGTAATTTATTTGCACCACACACACACACACACAGCGAGGCAGTGCCAAAAGGGGCGGCTACTGGCACGCCCCTTTGTTTCCTGGCCTTAGATTGGCTCATCACCAGAGGTCCTGGGCTCGAGTCCCTGTCATTAGCCACGTGGAACCGCATGGAAGTCTGTCGTCTCATCGCCTGCCGCTTGTCGCATGAATATTTTATAATCAGCCATTAGTTTGCGGCAATTGAAAATGATTGAAGCTTTTAACTGCAAAATTCAATTGCTTTATATAACCGTGAGTGGGTGTGGGCGAGGACGAAGGGCCTCAGTGTATTATGAAATATTTAATGGTGTAGTTCGCTAGCGGATTCGTTTCGTGTGCTTTTTTTTTGGGAACAATCCATTAGTCAGAGGCGAGTAATTAAAATTGCGATTTATGCACGCGCATGGAGCCGAGTTTTTGGGGGCTCTCTTGTTTGTAATTCAATTATGTTAATGATTGGACAACATTTACCGTATTTACATTAATGCATAATGAATGAGAGGAGGCCCTGTGCTTCGATGTCGTTTTTTTTTTTTGTTAATGGCAACTGCAACTGGGGGTCCGCTAAACACGGCCAAACGGCAATTAAGTGCATTTCTCTGTCTGACCAGGGGAATGTCGGAGCTACCATCACTCCTCTTGGCCAGACAACACACAAATGCGCTTTTGCCTTTGCTCAAAGCTCAGCTGGATAAATTAAGTGGTCGATGAACTGAAGCCTTGTTGATTTTATACGCCATGTTGTTGACAGCGGGGAATGGTAAAGGGGATGCGTGGTGACGCCGCAGAATTTAAACCAATGTTTAACCGAAAAATGTTCATTTAGTCGCACGTCCTGCAAGAGGGATGCTCGTCCTTCTGCTCCTGCTGATGAATGATTGATGTGGCGCGGTTTAATAAATTGGAAAATGTTTTCAGCTCAACTTGAGCTCGGCATCTCAAAGGCAAAGGGAGCTAAGCTAAATGCAGGTTGTGCCCTCTGACGAGCACTATCCATTCTCTGGGCTTTCGACTACCGACTTTGATTTTTTTTTTTTATATTTTTTGTGAAGGCTTTATCAATGCTGTGGAAGCCCGCAGCTGGCTGCCACATCAATTGGCTGGCGAAATCAGTGCAGCCTGCATGCACATATACCTACATATTGATTGGTCTGCTTTACCCTTGGCTAATGAACTTCTGGCCATTTATGAGGAGTCAGAAAAAAGAATGCTGAAAATTTTGTGGAAATTTCTGAAAATTTAACTTGTTCTCTGGCTGCTCGGACTGCCTTCTAAGGCATCTCTGACTCTGCACAAAAGTCTGGCTAATTATTAGAGCCAGAAAGGGCTTCCACACTCTGCTCCTTTTTTTGGCCGCGTAATTAGCGCACATAATTTGAAATTTAAATGTTGCCAAAAGCCGAAGCCTTAGAGAGTCAAAATGTTAATTAAATCTGGTTCTCTCTTTCTCCCTTCTTTTTTTTGGAGGGGGGGGGGGGGGGGGGGGAGGCGGGAATCAAAAGATGCCTGCCTCGACACAATTAGCCTTCACAATTGCTTATGACAAAGTGTCGTTGTGGGTGGCTTTTGGGTGGCAAAGATGTTGCAGTCGACAGTGGAGAGTCGACAGGCGCCAGTGGCAACGTTAAACCGCAAATTTTAGCGCCCCAGCAAGTCGAGCATGACGAGTTCGAGGGTTCGTGGAGGGGTCGAGAGGTCGAGGGGCCGAGGGTCGAGACTAGCCGCAGTGTCGCCGCCTACGCATATGCAATGCCAATGCCTGAAAGTGCCAACTTGGCCAAGTGCTCTGTGGGCCCTCCCCACTTTGGGTGGCTGCCCTGGGTGCATGGACCCATAAACTGCGTTAGTTTATGATGCCCCAGCGCTAAGTGAGCAAAGCGAAATACGCAGAGAGACAGCGCCAGAGATCCAGAGATCCAGTCAAGCCGTAAGTGCCTTCCTAAAATCCCCACACAGCTCTACACAGAAAGAAACAGGTTCGGATATCAATATAACCATGTTGAATTTATTACGATCAATGTTAAACTGATATTAAGAAACGTAACTTCATGGATTTCCTCTATTTGAAAATTCTCAAAAATCGAGAAAGGTAGAGAATGATTAACTTGATATTCTCATGAAAAATGTATTGCCAATAAATAGTGTAAATTTCATATTGAGAAATGATTTTTCTAGGATTTCCTCTTCTTGAAAATTCTTTAAATAATTCTTTAATAGCAAAAGAGCCCAAAAAGTAACATAGAGAATATATCAATGTGAAATGACGCCTTTCTACAAAGAATTGATACGGAATTTGATCACATTTTGATGAAATTCATCATATACCATAATTTTTTGTTCTCTGTGCATACTATACCATCCTATACCATCCCATCCTACCAGCCTTTGCAATTAGAATGCGGCGGATTGAACCACCCCAGAGCACAAAAAGCCGGAGAAAGAGCTTTCAGAACGCTTTGGTCAGTGGTGTGTTGTTGTTTTTATGCATTTCACTGGTCGAACTACATAAAACGGAACAACGAAAATGCAATTAAAACTACGTTTTATGGCTTTGTTATGGCGGACGGTCCTTTCGCCTTTCTCCATTCGCCTTTCTCCAGTGAGCGCACATGAAGAGCGATTTTTATGATGCTTTCTCCACTCGATGATGATGATAGTTTGGAAAATGGTTTCGAATTGAGTAGCCCCGGCAACTTTTGTTGATAGAAAAGTAATATTTTATGGGGTTAGCTTGAGGGTAAACTGTCTGTGGTGCTGGTGGTTTCATAGGTTTGCTTATTGAAAACGCCGCTCGGTTCGCTTCTTTTCTAACAAAAATCATCAAAGTTTTATGCAAAAGTTTTTTCGAGCTGCTGCTTGTGGACACAGATACTTTCTCCCTCTCTCTCTCTCTCTCTCTCTCTATCTCTATCTCTATCTCTCCTTCTATCTCCCTTTGGAGAAATTTGTCACTGGCAAAGCACCTAAAAGTAGACAATGTTGCCTCAAGCATCTGTCATGTGTGCGGAGTGGGCGGAAAAGAGAGGTTGTTCCAGAATCCAGAATGCAGAACCCACAATCCACCAGCTGGAGGTAAAAGCAAAACAAACTAACGAGCTAGCTAGGAAAACAAAAGCTTGTAGAGCAGCTACTCTCCGCTCTAACAACCTGCCATAACTGCAGCTTAATCAAAAGTTTTTCACTGCCTGCTCAGCCACAGAGATTCAGCTCCAGCTGGAGGGCAAGCAGCCATAACCATCCAACCATCTGAACAACCGCAACTGTATCATCCTTCGTGATCCTGCTCCCAGGCTCCCAAACTCCCATTCCCCATCTCCCATTCCTTTGATACTAATCAGTGGCTGCTTCTTCCACTTTTTATGCTGTCTGGCCTGGTCGGGGCCACGTTCAATGGAAAATATCTATATTCTTTATGTATCCCAATGTATGAAATATGGGTAGTCTATATAATGGCTGTTGAAGGGCTTTCCCTTGGTGGGAGTTTGCAATTAGCAAGTGGCAATTAAAGTTGTGGCATTTATTGGTTCATATATTATCCAGTAAGCCAGACACAGAAAGCTGTTAATAAGTGGTGAAAGAATAAGAAACAAAGAGCAGGAATCGTTTAATAAATCTTTAAGTTGTATCTTTAAAAAACCCACACCACACCTGTTTCCCAACTCACAGCGTATTTCATTCAAGGCACGACACTTGACTGTCGTATGACACTTGAGTTCCTGCTCCTGTCCATCAGCCGGTGGTCGCCCCACCCTTTTTTGGCTGACACAAAATATGCAAATAAATTACTAATAACCTCAGAATGTAACCCTTGCACGGAAGCAGTTGGTATTTTAGGGGGGCGAGTTGTATTCCTGATTCATAATTCAAATTTTACGCCGCAATAAACAAAAATGCCTAAAATTATGCAACACAACGCCCATGAACATTGCTGAGCAAGTCATAAATTATGTAAATTTAATTTTACGCCCC